ATTTGTTGTGATCTTCAATTTTTTGTTTAATTTTCTTATAGATAGCTTGTTGTTGATAGTGGTTAAATGCAATTTTAGTAAGATATAGTTCATTTTTGAGTTGAGCCAGGGTAGGTGTAAGTGTTTGAATAGAATTATCTGGATAAGTAGTTAAATATTTCTGTAGGAGTATATTAAAATTTGATGAGTTGTGATACTGTTTAAGGAATTGTATTTCCTTGTAGTGATAATATTGTTGAGGATATTTTATAGAGAAATTTTCTAGAACGCCTTAGAGTGTATTAACTTTTTTAAAAGAAATATTTTTAAAAGCAGCTTTAATTAAAGCTTTATGAATTTTGTTCCATATATTGTTAAGGTGGTTTTGATTGGAGATTGAAGAGATTTTAGAATTAATTTGTTGAAAACTTTGTGAAGTTTGATTGGCATAGTTTTCATAAGTTTCTTTGGAGCAGTTTTTTTAAAGAAAGATTTTACATTTGTATTGTTTGTGTGGTTTTGGCTTATTAATAATTGTAATTTCTAAGTTGATAATACTATGATCAGATTCAAGTATAGTGTTTGTAAGTATATCTGTATAATCTATATGAGTAAGAGATAAATTGGTCCAGATTTAGTCAATTCTACTTTGAGTAGTAGAGTGTTGAAAGATGTAATTAGAGGTGTTAAGAAAAAAGAGTCAGTAAATATCTTTAGATTGAGAGCTGATAAGATATTTAATGAGTTGATGTTCAGGTATAGAAGATTTTTTAGAAGGAGAGTGGTCTAGTCGAGGGTTAAAAACTCTATTAAAGTTACCTAAAATAATGATTTTGTAAAAAGAGTTTTGTAGAAGTGAAATAACTTGATTAAAAATTTTTTTTCATAATTGGTTCTTTTCTTGTGTAGGGATATAAATTTGAAGAACTCTGATAGGTGTATTTTTGAAGTGTAAATCAAGACCTATAATATGACTATTATAGTTATGAGAGTATATAATATATTTGAAGATTTTTTTATGAATAAAAATTTCAACTACAGCTTGATAAGGGTTGATATAAGAGCTCCAGAAACTAGAATATTTATTAGTAAGAGAATTAGTATATATTGTTTTTTGTTTTGAAAGATAAGTTTCAGAAAGTCCAAATATATTAAATGTTTCATTGTTGAGTATTTCAAGTAAAGACAGTTTTTTGTTAGCTTGTATTAAACCATTAATATTTAGTGAGCCAATTTTGATAGGAATTGAGATATTTTCTATTGTGGAATTAGTTAGGAAGTTAGAGATAGAATTATTGGTTTGATTTTGTGTAGTATAAGAAGCATTAAGATGAGAGAGTGGAGTAGAGGAAGAACTTGATGTATTGGTATATGATTTGAGAGGTATTTTATAAGTGTTTTATGTTAGTGATAGAGTGTGATTTGATAATAGTTTAAATTTATTTGATAAATGAATATGTGCTTCTTTTTTATTCTTAGAAAGTGAGATAGTAAATAATTTTTAAGATATAAAGCATATTTGTTTAAATGAGAGTAGAATGATTGTATAGTTTGAGATCCTTTTAGAAGGGAAAGCTTATAATGTAGTAAGTATTTGTTATAGCAAATATCTAAATCATAGGAGTTTAGTGATGTTGGTGATAATTTAGATGAGTTTCCTTTTGTAAGTTCACACGTTGTTTTAAGCCCAGTTCTTACAACCACAAAGAGTTTCAGAGTCTGCTCTGTATGTTAATTGGAAATTAAATAACAAACAAATAAATAAAAATTTAATTGCATATTAATCGAACCTCTTTTACTTCTAATGTCTAAAAGTAAAAGATGTGTGGTGCAAAAGGATTGTTTCTTCAACTAAATTAGTAATGCAATATAATATTAAAATAAACTCTTCTTTATGTTCTTTTATATTTATAACTGCATTAAATTCAATACTCTTATTCAATACTCTTAAGTGAATTTTTACTGCTCTGTTATTGATGCATTACTTTTTAGGCTTTACAGTTTTTTTTTTACATACCTTTTTTCAAATCTTAAAACCTTTTCTGCCTTATAGTAATGTTCTTATTTTTACATCTCATTTCAAGTATTATACTTAATTAATATGACTGTCAAAATCTTTTCTTTAAGTTTATACATTTTTCTGTATATCTTTTTCAAAACTATGATCTATTAATTTATAGTAAAATTCTTGCTTCAAACATTTCAACTCAAAGTTTTGTTATTAACTAAAAATTTTTTAGATGTCTGAAACCAGAAATTCTTATTCAGTTTTTGATGACTATTATATAAATAACAATATTTATATTATTTTGAAAATAATGTGGATATTACTTTACCTTCTAATTAGATGTTTCAACTTAAGCTTTATTGCTAAATGAAAGTTTTTTTTTTAAATGTCTAAAATCAAAAATTTTTATCAAACCTTCAACGACTATCATATAAATAATGAAAATTTGTATTATTCTGAAAATAATGTATATTGTTTTATCTTCTAATTTCAGATGATTATACTACAGAATCCCAACACTCAAAATCCTGATACTTAAAATCCTAACAACAAAATCCCAAAACACAAAATCCTGACAAATTAAAATCTTGAAAGCATTAAAATCCTGACATTCAAAATCTCGACATTTAAAATCTTGATATTTTCAAAAACTCAACAGAATTAAAATTTTAGCTTAAGATTTAAGATTTTGAAAGTGTCAGAATTTTGAATGTCAGAATTTTGAGTGTTAGAATTATAATGTTGTCAGGATTTTAATTTGTTAGGATTTTGTGTTTTGAGATTTTGTTGTTGTGATTTTGAGCATCGGGATTTTGAGTATCAGGATTCTGTAGTATAACTATTTTAGATATTTTAACTCAAGTTTTCTTATTAACTAAATTTTTTTTAGATGCCTGAAAATGATAATTCTTACCAAGTCTTTACTGACTATCATATGAATAACGAAATTTTGTATTATTCTGAAAAAATGTAAATATTATTTTACCTTCCAATTTTAGACATTTCAACACAAGATTTATTATTAAGTTTTTTTAGATGTCTGAAATTAGAAATTTTTACCAAGTCTTTAACAACTATTATATAAATAATGAAATTTTATATTGATTTGAAGATAATGTGGATATCAATACTTTGCCTATAATTAGATATGTTAATAGAACCGGTGTATTTGAAGGTAATGAATATGAAAGTGAGGGTGATACTTTATCTATAATTGGAGATACTAATAACATTGTTGAAGATGACAACTCTGAAAATAGGATTGAAAATGTTGAAGAAAATATAAATAAAGGTAATGATTCAGAAAGTGAATCTGATGATAGCCTATTAAAAGAAATATATACTAGACAGACTTTTACTTCTTTTGCGTTGCTTAAGCAGTGTTTGAAATATATTCTACCTGAATAGGGTTTGAAACAAAAATAATAAAAGTTGAAAATGACAATTATATTTGTATCAAAAAATATACAAATGTTGATATAGGAGTAAATACTTGTCTAAAAAGAAGCTAGATCTTATAGCAAATAGAGAGTAAGAATTAGCTTGTATAGAATGTGATTTTATATTAAATGTATTATACTGAAAATATCCAAATCATGTATTTGTTAATAAGTTTGTTGAAAAACACAGTCATGTATTAAAAGATAGCAATTTGCTTCAATTTTCGCCATTGTTATGAAAAATACCTACTAATATAAAAGAAGAGGTTAGGTTTTATGTCCAAAAATGTCATTTGGATGCAACTGTATTAAAGGGAATATTACGAAATAAGTTTTTTAATCAAAAAATTTACAATAGGGATCTTTATAACATGATAAATAGATTTAAGGCTAATATTCAAAATAAAAATGATGCTTTAACTTTATATGAATCTCTAGTAAGATTACAGAAAGAAAATCTGAATTGGTATGTTAAAGTTGATTTTGAAAATATTAATAATAGACTTTAAAGATATTTTAGATGTCTTCTGAATAAAAGGTTGTAGTCTAGATTTCACAATGCTGTCATTAATGACAACACGTTTAAAACTAATAAATATATGATGCCTTTAAATGTATTTATTATAATTAATTCAAATTAACGAAGCCAAATTGTAGCAACAGCTGTAGTTTATAATACAACTATATCAACTTACGAGTGGATTTTGAAACAAACTAAATTGGCTACTGGTAACCTTCAATCAACAACAATATTTACAAATGCAGATCTGGTGATACAAGTAGCCATATCTAATTGTTATCCTGAAACTATTGTTTGGTACTATGCATTTCATATTTGGCAAAATTTGGTCAAAAAG